ACTTACTATGGTTTCTCATATGATTTCTTGAACATTATTTGGTCTGGTAAGAATATCAGGGTTTTGCTAGAGTAGGTATGTAAGAACTAGTCTTTCTTTTTGCTAACAGGCTGTCATCTTGACCAGAAGCTCCAAACTTATATTTCTAAAATGCAGCTGTGACCATATAACTCCCATACTCAACAATGTGCAATGGCTCCTTATTGACTCTAGGATTAAATGCTATTTCATGTTTATAGTTTTCTTTTTTCATTTCTACTTTTGCATAAATTTTATTATGTTTACAAATATTAGTATGATAATATATGTTAAATTCTCAAATAAGAAAATATTAATATGTTGGGAGTCATGCTTATTAAATTTTTCTGATAATGTAGCAAGACAAAAAAAAAGTAGACTACTAATTTAGAATAGTGAATCCTTTACATTTTTCTTAATGGCAGGATCAGGCATGAGAGAAACTTAAATCAAAGATAATTAAGAATGATTAACGTATAAGGCATTTACTCAGTAGGAATGTTACTTTTTTAATTCTTTTTTTACTCCCTCTTCATTTTTTCCAAAATTGTACACTGCTTGGGGGAAAAAAACTTATATCAAATAAAATCCATTGTAGTTTGTAATTTGGTTTCCAAACAAATCACAAAGCTTTACTGTGAGTGATTGAACAATAACTGGAAAATCAGAAGCAAATAGATTAGGAACTTGTGTTTCAATTATGTAAATATTTTATTTAATTCCAGTTATTGAAAGGAATTTTGTTTTTTCTAGCTTTTCCTACTAAAATTCTGCAGACCTATTACTATTTGTACATTTAATTTAATTTATTAGGCTAGATGTGTGCCTAATTTTATGGTCTCTCTGGTAACTATTATAGTATTCTTACTAAAATTCATTTATCATTTGTCATCTTACAAATAACAATTTGCCTGGAACTGAGGAAAATTCTTAGATTTCAGCTTTTATAGTGGACAACACCAAACTTGGGATCAGAAGACCTGGGTTCTAGGTGGTTGTCTCTCATACCTGAGTTCTAGATGTTGTCTCTCACTTATGAAGAACACGATCATGATATCAGAATTTGTAAGCTTCAGTTTGCTCAGTAATAGTACTACAATATTATAAGATAATAATACCTCTGTTCTGTGCCTTTTAAGGTTCTTTGTGAGGAAATTAATTTTTTTGAAACTTTAAAATGCTATGTGAAGGAGAATTATTTTTTCCCAAAATTTTCCTGTCTAGTGCAATGTGTATTTCAGTGACTTTCAACAAATATTTATACCGTCTCAAGGGATGAGAGGTTTACATTGTGTGCCATACTTTCAGCTACGTAACTCTCATTTCATGTAAATCATGTGGAAAAGACAGCTTTGTACTAGCCCACTGAGTGCCCAGGCCAGATTCCTCTACTGTCCATCTGCTCTACTCCTATTCACACTTAAGCATTCCCTAACACACACACACACACATACACGGACACACACACACACAGACACACACACACAGATATACCTTTCAATACTATTTACGGCACTAGGAAATATGCCCCATGTATAAAGCACCTCAGTAGCTTCTTAGAGTTTAGGAGGGCAAAGGAAGGAAGCCAATGGGGAATGATGAGAAATTTATCTGGGTAACACAAGAGCTATAATTTAGTAATCTAAGAGATGGAGGGGACATTACAAGTCACGAAGGCCAATTTGCACCTGACAGAATCCCTTACAGCATCCACAACATTTGGTATTACAGCTTTCACTGGAATACCTCTGACGGCAGAAAACATACTACTTCTCATGACATAGCCCATTCCACTTTGGGACTCAAATAATTTGTTAAAGATATTTTGCTTAAAACTAAACCTAATTTTGTTCCATACAACTCACATCCATTAACATAGTTCTGCACTCTGTGTCCAAGCAGCAAGCATCTAATCCTCCTTCCATGTGACAATCCTTTATTTGTTTTAAAGCAGCAATGATAAAAATATTAATGTTTGGCTTGCATCACATAATTTAGAATTAAAGAGATCATAGAGATATGGATGATCTAGGTTAGTTTTGACTAGCTGTCCAAATCATTCATTTTACAAATGAAATTCCAACTCAGCTACGCTTTGTTGTTGTTTAGTTGTGTTTGACTCTGAGTTGTCTAGTTGTGTCTGACTCTGACCCCAATTGGGGTCTTCTTTGCAAAAATACTGGAGTTGTTTGTCATTTCCTTCTTCAGTTCATTTTACAGTTGAGGAAACTGAGGCAAACAGAGTTAAATGACTTGACCAGGGTCACAGAGCTAGTGAGTATCTGAGGCCAAATTTGAACTCAGGTCTTCCTGACTCCAGGCCCAGTGCTCTATCCACTGTAACAAACAATTACTTTTACTAGGAATCTAATTCTACTTTCTACTTTAAGCAAATTAATTCAAAATGAACTAAAATTAACTAAAAAAATTAACAAAAAAGATTAATACTAATCTTTCTACTATAAGATAAGGCCTAATCCCATTTAACATTTTAAAATACTTAATGTATGCAAAGCACTGTGCTAGACTTAGGGGAAATATAAAGTTTATGTTAAAGCACTATCCCTGCCCTCACTTGGTTGTCTTGAAGTTAGCTGCCTGCAAAGGACACTCATAGCTGAAAAACAGAATCACTCTAATCCAGCCCTATCTTTTCTCTCTAAACTTAACAGCTCCAGATTTGTCTGAAATATTAGTGTCTTGCAACCACCTGCAACAGAATTGAAGTCTGTGTGTGTGTGTGAGACACACACCAAAAGTATATATGAATTTCTTATGGTTATTTCTACTCTGCACCTCAATTATCTTCTGTTAGCAAGGGCAATAGGGAACATACTCTGTTGTTTAATGTCTCTCTCACACGTTTAGCTATCTGTGTGTAAAAACTGTGCTGTGTAAAGAAGCTTGAGTTTAATTGGTTTTATTATACCACAGGACCAATTAAATTGCTATGGTTTCTAAGTCAGCAATCAGTAAACAAATCCCATTTTTTATACTTGGAAATTTTAGGTCACAAGGTCAGAGTGAGTGAAGCCAATAATGAAGAAATCATTTTTAAATGTGTGTAATGTGTCCCTTTTGTTGAAAGAGGTAGGTTTGGAAATTTTCTACCATTGTTCAAATTCTACTAACATTCTTCTTTGATGAGAAATTTTGGGGAGAATGCAAATTTAGAACTTCAAAGGCCAGTAATAAAGAGTTGCACATTTTAGCAGCTAACAGAAAAAATGAGCTGTGAAATACAGAGAGGAAAGGCTTGAGGGCAGATTATGCCTGAAGGAGCTACAAACTTTCCTAATGAACTAGCTGCAAATTTGTGATTTCAAAATTTAGACCATGGCTCTTCTTCTCCCATGTCCCCTTGCCACTAGCCAAGTTGTTAATTTGAAAAGAAACAATTTTAGTTGGATCAATTATTTTCAAATATCAATTAGGTAATAGTCAAATGCTATTTAGCCTCTATTATTTGCAGTTAGAGAACTGATGCAGTCAGATTTATTATTCATATTTTGAAGCTAAGCTTATTTTAGTTAATATTGTTGCTATTTGCATTTGTTTATTGATCTAAAGGTATTATTTTGAATCATTCATTTCATTTAAAGCGTGCAAACCACATCTAAGTCATTGCAAAGCAGTACTTGTTTTTCATGTGAACTTATCAATCACTATACTATAAATTACTGGGACTGGAGCTAAATTATTAGAAATTTTTATATAATAACTTACTTAAACTTCAAGGAGTACAATGGTCTTACCCTTTTGAATATAATCCTTAATTAAATAAGAAAAGGTATAGCAAAATGGATATTAGATCTTTGTGAGCTATCACAAGCAATTAATTCTATATTTCCCAAAGTTTAACATTAAGTTATTTTTAGATTTGAAAATATTTAGATTTGAAAGTCAGATTTGAATTACCCATCTCCATTAAGGTATAGACAATTGATTATAGTCACTCACATGAACTTCATATAGAAAATTGTACTTGTACAATGTAGTTTTCACTATTGGGGCAGTCCAGTGTCAAACAGAATATATGGGAGTGTGACTATGCTAGTATGACAATGACTGCATTATAAATGACATTTTAAATAGCTGTTTTAGAATTTGTTTTAAATATCTATTTGTGTTTAAAAAACACAAATTGTATTTTCAGAATAAATTCTTTAGTTACTAAAACATGTAAGTTGATTCCATATAAAGAATAGGATTGAAATCTGCTAAATTATCTTTCTAACACAAGTTAGTATTATCAGTACAAATATAGATAGGTGGCACAGTGGATAGCGGGCAAGATCTGGAGTCAGGAAGACTTGTGTTCAAGTTAGGTCTCAATCACTGGGCAAGTCACAACTGCTGATTGCCTCAGTTTCCTTACTTGTAAAATGGATATAATAATAGCATTTACCTCCCAGTGTTGTGGGAGCATTATCTTAAATATCTTAAAGCATTATGTAAATGCCAGCTAATAACAATAAAGAATTACTTTTCTTTTGTGTGATTCAAGGAATCACTCAAGTAGAATTGCTTAGCCATTGTGAACAATTTCTGAGCTGATAACTTACAAAATATTTGGGTGCCTTGTCATCAACAGAAAAAAAAAAAAGATATGCGGTATCTTTCAGAGCAGTAGATTAGATAGTCCTTCCCAAATTTGTGAATGATTTAATTCAAACAGTAGGCAATTATGAAGCCAAATAGCACAAATTAAGGAGCAAAGTAGCTTAGGTAAAAGCAAGACAGAGCTCCAAACTATGGTGTTCCTCTTTTAGTGAGTTAGCACATGGTATTTTACATGTCATCGTCTTTAAGTAGGCATGTGGTATAGCGGATTGAAAGCTGGATTTGCATTCTTTTTTTTTTTCTTTAAAGGACCATTTGAATTCTCAAAGAAAGCTTTAGGAAATCTTCCTTCCATCAGGCTTGGAAAGCTTTTTACTTTAATTGAAGATAATATTTCCCTTTCCCCTTCTGTTTTTTAGCCTCTTTTTCCCAAGAAGAACTATGAATGCCTAACAAGCTGTGAGTTCCTGAAATACATTCTGTCAGTGAAGCAAGGTGATTGTCCAGCACCAGAGAAGGCCAGTGGTTTTGCAGCTGCCTGTGTAGAAAGTTGTGAAATTGACAATGAATGCTCCGGGGTGAAGAAATGTTGTTCAAATGGATGTGGACATACCTGCCAAGTCCCCAAAAACCTATACAAAGGTAGAGATCATAACAGGGCATTGAAGGGAATTTGACCTTTGATTCATGAACAAAGCTGCTTAGAAAATTGCTAGTTTGTTATAGTTTCTGAACACAGAGAAAATCGAAATCTTAGAGGAAGAGATTATGTTGGGGCAGGGGGTGGGGGAAGTTAAGCTACTACATGTTTCTTTTGTGTGTTGTACAAACCACCTTAAGATACAGACATCTTGAGATGTCAGTAAACCATAGATATTGGACTCAGGGGCTGAAGAAGAAATTGGGCCTTCCACAGAAAGCCTTGTTTGCTTTAACCCTAATGAGAAGTGTTGAACCATTGTAACAGCTTAATGTTAAGTGGCCATATTTAAATAAAACTGTTTGCCACTGCAATGAGACTTTTCAAGAATGTAATTATTTAAGTACCGTAGCATACCAAGTATTTATTAAGCCAGTAGGAGACTAAACAAGCTATGAAGCTTATTTGTACAAGAAATGTGAAACAAAAGTCTTTAAAAAAAACCTGTATACCCCAATTGTGTATTATAACTGCTGGTATCAAAGAAAGAATCTTAATGGATAAATTTGAAATCCTTTAACTTAGTATTCTAAAACATTAGTGAGTTTTTTTCTCTGCAAAATAACATATTTTAATGAATTAAGTTTTTAATTGATTTTAACTTGCACTCTTCCAAAATATGTCTGTTTTTTTAAAAAAATTGTAGAAAATCATGATTGTGTTAAGATTATCATTATACTTTTGAGTCACAAGTGATCCTTTAGTAATTATTCTCAAAGAATTGGGATCCATTTGATTTGATGTTAGTAATCACTTTTATAAAATGGCTAAACTCATTCTTTGCAGTCTGCTTTACAAGTCAAACAGTCTTGCTTTATCCTTCTCAGTCATGATGGATTAGAGGAAATATTAGATTTCATGGTCATATTGGAATTTGAGTATGGGTTAAATCATATTGGCTTAAGGATTATTTGACACTAACTGTTGCTAATCTATTTCTATAAAGCTTACTAAGGTCTCTTGAGCCACATCTATAATGATTCAAGTCCTTGAATATTAATACTATGATAGATGTCATTTGATCTGCCTTTTGGACATATGAAGACTGAAAAAGAGTGGGGAAATGCATCACTTAGGTGTTTGTTGCTCATGCCTGGTTAAAACAGAGAGAAGTACAATGTGTTTATTACTTTATGTTGAGCTGTTATACATACATATTCCATAGATTCTATTCTAGCCCATGGATATGTCAAAACCTATCCTTGTACTTACAAGTCAGCAAGGGGTAGGATTGGGAAAGAGCACTGGATCTGAAATCAGAGAATCTCATTCTGCTCCTGGCTTTGTGGCTTACTACCTGTTCGATCCTCGGTTCATTACTTAACCTCTTTGGGCCTCAGTTATTTCATCTATAAAATAAAGGAATTAGACAAGGTAATTTCTAGGGTTCCTTCCAGTGCTAGGTCTTTTGTCTTAGATTGATTAATCTATAGTGATAGAATTCCATTTACACAGAAACATACTCCAATCTGTCCTCCACACAGATGCCCAAATGATTGTCCTCACGCACATATCTGACCATGACACCCTACTCCCTGCCCCATTCCCACTGATTCAATAAATTCCAGTGGTTTCTTATTGTCTTAGGATCAAATATAAACTTCTTTGTTTTATATATGAAGCTTTTTCCCAATCTGACCCCTTCCTGCCTTGTCTCTATTCTTACATGGTACTCCCCTCTACCCACTCTCTGGTCCAGTCATACTGGTGTACCTGCTATTCTGCTCACACAACATTCCATCTCTCATATCCAGGACTTTTCTAAGATATTGTCTCCTGATGCATTGAACTCAAGATATTGAGCATCCTAAGATCTTCCAGGACTTTTAGCGTTCTATCTATACCTGCAGTACTTTCCCTTCTCATCTCTGTCCTAGTTTCCTTTAAGACTCACCTCAAGTATCACCCCTCAATTCCTAGTGCTCTCTCTTCTCAAATTCCCTTGTATTCCTTTTGTATTTGTTGTTTGGTTGTTTCAGTCATGTCTGACATTTTGTGACCCTGTTTGGAGTTTCCTGGCAAGGATACTGGAATTGTTTTCCATTTCCTCCTCCAGCTCATTTTATAGATGAGGAAACTGAGGCAAACACAGTTAAGTGACTTTGCCAGTGTCACATAGCTAGTGAGTGTCTGAGCTTGAATTTGAACTCAGGTCCTCCTGACTCCAGGGCTGGTGTTCTATCCACTGCACCACTTAGTTGCCCCATTCCTTTTGTATATATTCTGTATGTATGGTCATACATGTTAGAATGTAAACTCCTCAAGGGAAGAGACCATTGCACTCTAGTCTTTGTATCATCCTCTGTTCTTAGCATAGTTCCTGGCACATAGCAGGCACTGAATAAATATTGTTGATTGATGGAGGATACTAAAATTAATTTGACTTATCTAATTTGTACAAATTCAATAAAACAGTTCTAATTTGCCATAGTTAAAGCCATGTTTGAGAAACATGTTTTCTCTTTATATAAATAATTTCTGTAGAAGAGGAATTGAAAATTGATTCTGTAAGTTTCAAGAGGTGTTACGCACTAACTGAGTTCTTACGTGGGAGATAGCAGATCTAGGTTCTAATGTGTTCTTCTAATTAGCTATCTAACCTTGGGAAAGTAATTTTGCTTTCCTGGGCCTTAGGTCCTTCATCTATAGAATAGGGAAGTTGAACAAAATGATCTCTAAGATTCCTCCTGGTTGTAAAAATTATATTAGTCAAAATGTTATATTCTTGGTACTGATGGCCTGTAGAGTTTGTGTCCCTTTTAAATGCATTGGACCATTTTGAGACAAAGTTAATGATTCTAGAATGCATTACATATGGAAGGGAAATTCTGATTTAATCCTATACCTAAGTAACCTATTCTTTTGGCACAAAGTAGATGTGATATTACACATTCCCTGGCATATAATTTTGGACACAAATCATGGAAAGAATAACATCTTTCTACTGACTTGGCCATGTTTATTTTGATATTGATGTTTGGATATAAGCCATAAAATATCTTTTTGAATGGGGAAAAAAATTCCTTCCTTGTTTTCTCTCCAAAACCATTCAGTGATGGAGTCATATCCCTGAAGTCTTATTAGTAATAGTAATTTACTTGTTATATGATGCAAAGACCTAGAATGGGCTTTCAGCTACCTTATAATTGTAGGAACTTAGTGAATGCCATTATTTAAAATTATTGTTCTATAGATTCTAAGAAGGGAGTGAAGCTATTTATATATCATTGACCAAAAAGTAGTAGTCTTTTAGGGAACACTGTTTTCTTAAATCGTGTTGAGCTTCAGGCAGAGAATGCAAAGCAAGGAGACAGGGTGCCAGAAAGAAACAGGAAGGCCTCCACAAAACAAGTTAGATCAGCCAAATTAATACTGATGATCAATGGAATAACATTGTAACATCCAAATTGTAGTCTTTCCATCTCCAGTACCTGGAACAGTACCTATTGCTTAAAAGATGCTTAATAACCGTAGGTTGAATTGAAATATCCATTTTACAACACTTACATATTAATGCTAATTTAATTTTAATTTTTTTCAAAAGCAAATGTTATCATTGACATAAGGGAATAAGGTATCCCATAGCATAACAAACCTAAGGTCTTAGAGATGAAAAGAGTCTTAAAGAGCATTCAATCTATTGGTTCCCAAACACCAGTCTTCATACCATTGCTGACTCTTAGTGGTATTGCATTATGAAAAATATATCACTGCCCAAGGTCCTGACTTCCTAAAACATATATACTTAAAGATTGTTACTTTTCTTCCTTCTCCTCCCTAAATCCTACATTTTGTGTCACTAAAAATTTCAAAATTGACTTTGTGGAAGGCAGAGTAGTATAAGTGAGAGAACTGAGATATATTACCAATATTTAGTAGTGGATAATAACAATTATTATAATAATTATTATTAATAAACAATTGACCTGCATGCAAATGTATATCAATTTAAAGTTTACAAAGAATTTTCATGTATTATTTAATTTGGACCTCACCACAACCCTCTGAAGTAGTTATTATCCCCACTGTAGAGATGGGGAAATTTGAGACTTAAAAAGAGTTTTAGGTATTTCTTTATGGTCAAAAAGCTAATGTCAAGGGTGGGATTTGTGCCAAGGTTTTCCTAATTCTAAAGTCAACAACTTTATTCCCTGTGTTATGCAAGGGACAGGCATGTTGACATCTCAGACAAGCTGAGTGACTGATTAGTTATGGATGTGGAATTGGAACTCAAGTCAACTAAGTCCATGATATGATGCTGCCATCATACCATGTACTTAATAGTCTACTTGATTATGTTGAGGATATTCACTATAAGAGGACCATAAACTTTAAAACACATTAAAAATTATAGTTATGACATTATAGGCATAGGGCACTCAAAGTGAAGGAACTCCCTCCACTAGGGCAGATTAATAACTATTCTGCAATTTGTCATCTTAGAGAGTTGATTGGGCATTTAACTATTAAGTACTTCACTCAAGGTCACTAAGCAGAGATAAAACTGTAGCTCAGGTTTACCTGACTTAAAGCCCTTTTCTTTATCCATCACACTAAAGTGTGATGTGATAGACACTATCACTAAATAGTAGAAAATTTCATTCACAAATCATGCATTTATTTTTATCATACATACATATATACATATATATTTTTTTCCCGGCAGACTCTATTTTGAATCTAAGAAGCTACTAAAATGCCTTTTAAAATAATGATAGGATTTATTTTTATTTGAATAGTGATTTATGGTCCATATAACTCTTTACAAATACATTATTTTTTGTCTCTCAACGGTCATGACATCTTTAGTTAAAAAAAAAAAGGTTCTCTTTATCTTTTTTGGCTAGGCAATGGGGTTAAGTGGCTTGCCCAGGGTCACACAGCTAGTAAATGTTATGTGTCTGAGGCTGGATGTGAACTCAGGTCCTCCTGAATGCAGGGCCAGTGCTCTATCCACTGTGCCACCTAACTGCCCCAGTTCTCTCCATTTTAAAGATGAGGAAACTGCAGAGATCAAACTTTGTCAAGACCTACTACCTATGAGACTGGGAAAGCTTCAAATGCAAACTAAGTGAGAGATTATACATTTCTGTAAAGTAAGAGCTAGCCTTGCTTAGGTTGCAAAGACTAAACACTAGAGAGTTGGCTACCAGGTGATGATTTTTTTTTATTTGTTTGTTTTTGCTGCAGCAACTCATTATCGTCATCTATTAAGGCATGGAAGAGTTGTACTTTGCCTTAATAATGTAATTATCCACATCACTTATATCATGTAGACTTGAAATATTATAGTATAAATTCCAAAGATTCATATATGTTACATTGCATGTATGCCTTAGAACAAGTGGTCCAGTAATTTAAATTTAATTAATTATAATTTTGGGGAATGTTTGTTATATTTATGAACAAGCATAAAGAGATGATAGTGTGTTTTGGGAGAATAAAAAAAAAATCTCCACTTGATTTGAAGTCAGAAGACTTCAGTTCCAATCATAACTGCTATTTTACTGCCTAGACACAGAGAAGTAATGCAGTGGAATCAGCGCAGGGTTTGGAGTTAGGAAGACCTGAGTTCAAATCCAGCCTCAGACACTAATTTTGTGATATTGGGCAAATCACTCTGCCTGCCTTAATTTCCTCAAATATAAAATGGGGATAATAGTAGCACCTACTTCCTGGGAATGTTTTGAGAATCAAATGAGACTATATACACACATATGTATGCATGTGTATATATATACATATATATTGCTTACTACATAAATACCACATATAATATCTATCAATCTATCTATCTACTTATCTATCTTACTATCTTACTGTAGTATCTGGCACATAGTTTGTTTTCTCCATTTCTTCCTATTTGACCTTGGATCACCAAGTAATTAACTAAAGAGTATTTATTAAGAACATACTATGTGCCATATGTTATGCTATGTTCTGGGCATGCAAAGACAAAAATGAGAAAATTTCTACACTCACAGAGCTTATATTCTCCTAGAGGAAAATTATTGAATTTCTTTGTGCCTCATTTCCTCATTTCTAAACTGAAATGATTATACTAAATAATTTCTAAAGTCTGAGATTTAAATGGTGGTTAATCATTGAATTAGTGAAATATACTTTAATATTACTAAATAGAACCTTTCAGTTTTGAGAATAAAAAAAATACTTGGGTAATCAAACCACAACCATATCTGTTTTGGATTGTTCCATTACTCTATTGATACAGACTATATTTAGCATTTAAAAAGCAGCAGGTTGCTACTACCTTTGATTATACTAGACTTCTTGGCACTTACTCATGGTTTAAAAAACTATTTTAGCACATTTTTGATATCATGTTGTTACAGTTAGATGTTAAAAATTCTTCAGCAGAAGAGGATAGATTTCAGAAAACTAATTTGTCCAAGAATAATGAAAAAGCCTCATAATTTACATAATGAAAAGCATATCGAGTAGTGATTGGATGTACACATCTGGTTATGAAATTGATGATACTCATTCTACAAAAGTAGACTCTAATGCACTTGTACCGGCTTCAGTTGTTTGTGCTGCTGGGATCCATCTGCACACAATTACATACACCAGAGAGGTTGAGTTACTTCCAATCAAGTGAATCCAACTAACCCTAATGCAAAGCAGATGGAAACTTTCTTAACATGCAAATTGCAGGATTATTGTACATCATAATTAAAGAGAGATTTGTAAATGAAGAAATTTGAACTGACATAGCCCATGATGCTCATTACCTTAGATTAAGGCTGTTGGTTGCTGAATGATATCCAAGATTAAAACCTTTTAGAAGGGGATTTGGATGCTGGGATTTACTGCTGATGAGTTCAGATTTCTTCAGCAGCTACAGTATTTACTATAGTTTTATTTACTGTAAAGGATTACTGCATTGGAGTGCCATAGGGAATGGTCTATTTCTAGAACCCAGGCAAGGTTCTTTGTGAGTTTCAGAAAGTGAACAGTCTTCTTACTTTTTCCCAGTTAAAAAATTTGTTTGAAGTAAAGCAGATTAATAATATAAATTACTCATTATCCCTTAATTTGTACTATCCATTTGCTTACATCATGAAGTTCTATTCCCCTGCCCCTCCTCATATTATACTTCAAAAAAGAAGAATTGATTTAAACCTGGAGAAGAGAAGAATTGGTGATCAGGGAAAAAGGGGAAGAAAGTGAAAGTAGGCATTATAGCTTTCTTCCAATATTTGAAGGACTGTCATATGGAAGAGGGATGAGGATTGTCAGGCTTGGCCCTAGATAGGAGAATCAAAGGTCAGTGGGTTGAAGATGCAAAGAGACACATTTAGGCTTGAAGTCAGGAAAAACTATCCCAAAGGGGAATAAGCTGCCTCAACACACAGTATGAGTTCCCCCCATTAGACTTCTTTAAACAAAGGTTTGTTGGGAATGTTGTAGTGTACATTCTCATTCAAATATAGGTAGGAGTGTGTTGGAACTAGCTCATATTGTCACAATCAGCTCATAATCTGATTGTTAAATTTTTGGTCTGAATAGTTATATTTTAGAATTTGGCAAATGCTACAAAACAGGATTTAATTTGTTATTTTGTTGATTGTCCAGACTTAACCAATTAACTTAACTAATTAGCCAATTAAAATAATTTTCCACAATCTCCTTATTTGCTACTTCATTTTATTTGAATTTTTTACTCATGCATGTCTTGTTTTCTAGAGCAGAAGTACATGAGCATTTTTCATTCCATAGGTTAAATTATGATGGAATTGAACCTAAACTGAGAATTATGTCTCAGGTTAGCAGTGTTTTTAGTCTATCTGTAGAACCTTAAGAAGTAGAAAGGGAAGAAGTGACAGTACAACCTCTTCCTGAGTGTTAGCTTATGTGAACTCATTATTAATCTTCACTAAGACAACTGGAAACAATAGTTATCGAAAGCGATCCTGCTCTAAAGAATGACCCCTGAGAAAGAGTGGCTATAAAGATACTATTTCAGATTCATGAATCAGTTTAAACATTTTTAAAACAATGAGAAAAGCAAAGGGTTTACCATGACATAGACTGAGCTTTGTGTCAGATACTTTAAATAATAAAACATTGCTATTTAGGGGCCACTTTTATTAGGGGAAGTGAGTACCAATTGATTTAAGATTAGCTCTTCCCTTTGACGTGTTTTCCTTCTTAAATGCTCACCTCAGCTGAAGTCACACACAGCCTGTTTTAATTGACATACTTTTCTATGTTGTCATGTTTCAGGTGTTCCTCTGAAGCCCAGGAAAGAGTTAAGATTTACAGAGCTTCAATCTGGACAGCTGGAGATTAAGTGGTCCTCGAAATTTAATATTTCAATTGAGCCTGTAATCTATGTGGTGCAGAGGAGATGGAATTATGGAATCCATCCTAGCGAGGATGATGCTACAAATTGGCAGACTGTGGCACAGGTTAGTCCCTTATGGAAGATCTTTCTTTCTTTCTTTCTTTTTGGGGTGAGGGGCACTTCTACTACTTCTACTACTCACATAAAGCCTTAACTTGCTGAATGATCAAGGTACTTCTTACTATAGATGTAACGAATATCAGATGCTGAAAGAGTAACACATGGAAACAGAGGAAGAGATAATACCAAAGAATGGAAAAAACCTAAGTGTTGACTTAGTTCTTTATGATGTGGTAGATGGAACAGCAGACTTAGAGTTGGAAGACCTGGATTTAAGTCTTGAATCATAGGATTTCAGATCTAATTAGGGCCGAAAGAGAACTTGGAGGCTCTGTCCTTCATCATGTAAGTAAACTGAGGTCCAGGAAAATTTGGATGACTTGCCCAGTGTCATACAGATAGGAATTGTCAGAGGCAGGATTTGATTCTATAAAGCCAGTCCTAGGTCTGTGACCAGAGGGCCATTTCCCTCTCTTCTGTAGGCCTCAGTTTTTTCATCTGTAAAATGAGAAAATTGGACTAGATACTCTTTAAGGTCTCTTCTTGGTCTGTCAAACTATATTTCTATGAAAAAATATAAAAATATAGTATCTGAATAACAGCATTTCATTTCCTCTAAGAGCTATGTTTTTTTAAAAGTCAAATTGAAACCTACTGTAAATAAGCAATACAACATTGGTTGGACTGGTGAATTTAAATTTTGTAATTTGTCTCATGGCTCTTCCATTTCTGTTCAACTTATACTTTTCTCATTCCGGAGGATCTGAGATGAATGAGTGTGAGATGCACATCCCCAAACTACTTAATGGGAAGGAGCCAACAGATCATAAATCTTGACTAAGTGCTTTCCTTGTTTCGGTGTGTTTCTTAAAGAATCGATGGCCCACCTGGATGGCAATGCTCCAGACGGTTATCTTAACATTGCTTCCTCCTTCTCTCCCTTGTTGATGAGGAAAGCAAAATATTTTTTTTCCCTTAAAGAGTTGTTAAATGGGCTACCAGCTGCAAGAAAATAAATGGAGGGGAAGAAAAATATATTTTGAATGTGGAGCTGATTCATGATTTTTTTTAAACCAACTAGAGTGAATTCTCTGCACTTATGTCTATAGATTTTTTTAAGTTCCCTTCGAATTTAAGGGATAGTGCAGGCCAGACTGCTCTCTCTCTGTCTCTCTCTCTGTCTTTCCTCTCTATCTCTTCTCTCTGTCTCTCCTCTCTATCTCTTCTCTCTGTCTCTCTTCTCTATCTCTTCTCTCTCTTTCTGTCTCTCCCTCTGTCTTTGCAATGACAATGATGTGAAGTATTTTTTAATGAGCAATTTCTTTTCTCAAAAAACATTACCTTTGAAGAATAAGGGATCAACAAAGAATGAATTTAAGGATTTCAATATGGACAGAAGAGGGAACATGGCTCAATGGATACAGAGTTGGCCTCAGAGATAGGAAGACCTGTAGTCAAGCCCTGCCTCTAACCCATACTGACTGTGTGACCCTGAGCAAGTCACTGAACCATTCAGTGCCCGCAGGCAACTCTCTAGTGAAGTATATGCACTGAGTGGTAAAGGAAGTTTCCTTACCCTATAGCAGTAATGTCAAACTTGAGTAGAAAGGGGAAGACCACTAAACTATACAGAAGCGTCCTTAGGGACTGCATATTCACTTAGAAAACCATATATTAATATTAGTTGTGTTCTATTGTAGTTTTGTTTGTTAAAAAATTCCAATTGCATTTTAATCTGATTAGGGGCACACTTAGGAGTGTTGTGGGCCATAATACAACAGCTATTTATGTGTATGTTTGACTTCTCTGCACTACACTAAGAAAATTACAGATCTGGACAAAAACAAAATGGAGAAGTGAGAAATTTTTCTCTAAACTAATATCACATAAATGACAGAATATTAATTTTAGTCACAAAACATCCCAGCCCAACTCTCTTTTCTCCCTAGTTTCTAGCAAATAAAACTTCTCAGAAAGGTTTTGATGGTGGATATGACATGAAACCTATGTGGTTTCTTTTCTCAATCATCAAAGTTTGAAGGGCTAATCACTGTAACTGGGTGAATGGTAATTTACTTTTTCTCTTTACAGAGAAGAACCTTTGAATTCTTTTTCCCCCTAGTGAAGGCCAGAACTAATGCTTCCTTGGCATCTGCCTGATGCTGTGAACATAATTCCATGCTTTATAAAATGCATGTATGTATATGGCTCTGTATGTGGGCATGTCCATGTTTGCATGTGAGCATATTTGTATAAGTCTGTCAGATTTTTTGGTTATTACTCTATGATTTCAAGAAGTTTTATCACAGAATCAAAGAATTTCAGAATTGGAAGGAACCTCAAAGCCAAATTCCAATTCATATGCCCAAAAGAATACCCACTAAAATACCTTACAAATGGTCTTTTAGGCTTAAAGGCTTTCTGTGAATGGGAATCGACTACTTTCCCAAGCCAGCCTATTAGAGTTTTGGAAAGGTCTGTTTATAAGGAAGTTTTTTTTTTTTTTTTTTAACATTTAGCCTAAATTTTCTTTTGTGCAACTTCCACCTACTGATCCTAGTTTTGCCCTCTGGGTTCAAATAGACCAAGTCTCATCCCTCTTCCATGGCTACAACATCTCTTAAACTTGTATAATAAGTATTTTTAGTTACCTCAACTGATCCTTAGATGGCATGTATTCAAGGCCCTTCACCATTCTGATTGCCCTCTTCTGGACATCCTCCAACTCATTAATGTCCTTTCTAAACTCTGCTATTTGGAACTGTCTATAATACTCCAGTTGTGTTCTCTCTCACAAAGGCATTGTACAGTGGGACTCAGACTCCTTTATCCCTGGACACTGTCTCTATATAGCCCTTGATTGCATTAGCTTATTTGGCTGCTCTATTTCACTGCTGATTTATTGATCATTCAATCCACTAAAATAATCTCTGATATTTTGTTTCAGACAAAATACTCTCTAACTTTTCTTTTGCATCTTGTACATATTTCTGTGTGTGTATGCATATAGAAAGCTATAGCTATAGATAGTGTATATACATGTATGTATTTATGACACTTTTCAAGCTTCAAGTTGTATTCACGAAAGATAAAATCTCCAGTTCTTCTGAAATACACTCTGAAATCAAGTAGGAATGTCTATGTGCTTTCTTATATCTGTGACTTCCACGGGTAATTGAAATGCTTGACAAGTATTTTTAATAAGATTTAAAAAAATACTTTTTTGGGTTTCAAAGAAAAGTATCCATCTTTTGGATCAGTTTTAATTAAGCAAGTGCATACCTACAAATCAGGGGTTTTTATATCATGGATTTCTTTGACAGTTTGATGAAGACTATAGATTCCTTAGACTGTTTTTAAATGCCTAAAATAAAATAAATAGGGTTACAAAAGAAACCAATTGGTTAAATATAGTTATAAAATATTTTTAAAAAAGGTTACAGATCTCAGATTAAGAATCCCTGCTGCAAATGAATGCACTCAGGACCAGGAATAAATGAAAACCAGTGCCTACTACATTGATTTCTTGAAATTCAAATGGATGGTTGGTCATCCCTAGAAATGTAGGAATACAGTTTCAATTAGAAGTAGAAATTAAATACTTTGAAGTATTTTTCACATGTTTAGCAAGGGATATTTTGTGGAGGAAAGACATAGTTGTTATCATCTTTGAATGTTAAATGTTAATGTTCATGTGAAATATGCATGTTAAACATTAGACATAATATTGAGTTATCTTAATAATTATTCTTAAGCTCTATCCAGGCTGTGAGTTGCTATGTATTTCCTGTGTGCTACAACCATGATTAAATAAAGCAAAATATTAATTTATTTGTTACCCGCTAGAAAAGATAATTATGCATGTAGGAAAATCCACAGTTTTAAAGTCTCTGACTTTATTTTTAATAAGTAAACTCCAATTCATCAATACATGTTTTTAGTCTGGCCTCTAATTTAAAATAAATACTTTATAGATGTATCTTGTGAACATTCTTATTCAAATAAATAAATCAGTACCCAGATATTTTAAAATTTGCTTTCAGAGATGTTGTTATAAAGCATCAATACTTCAGACTTTTTTTTAAAGTCCATGATATGCAGTATCAATAACATGAGTTCAACTTACTCAATTTTCTTCCTGGAAGTTCTGCAGTACTAAGACTTCCTTTGATCTCTGACCCCAGCTTCTATAATTGAGCATGATTAGTATTTACTTAGAAGGGCAAAGGTTTTACAGGTCAAGACTAAGGTGCATTGGCCAACTGGTTGGTGGATGTCTGAATAAACCCAATTGACATGTCAGAATAAAAAGAGCCTGTGTGTGATATGACATTTTCCCCTTCAGACTACTGATGAGAGAGTTCAACTGTCTGACATAAGACCTAGCAGGTGGTACCAGTTCCGAGTGGCTGCTGTTAATGTGCATGGAACCAGAGGCTTCACAGCACCCAGTAAACACTTCCGCTCCTCTAAAGGTTAGTGTTGGTTTCCTGCCTCTGACACTCACCTTCGACTTGGTCACATGTGGAATGCAACTTTGCCCTTTTAATGTTTCATATTTATAGTTTCCAACAGGTGGACATTCTGTATTTAGCCATTCATTTTTGCATTGGGTCCAAATTTGTTTGAAGTTGCCATGCAAATTTATGACTAAGGATGTGTTCTTTTATCTGTAAGGAGACTTGACATAAATTGAAAGGAGGTTTAATACCCTGATCTTCTAACCCAAAGTCTTCTTTTAGTAAAACTAAATCTTAGGATTAATTTCAATGAATCAATAGATTAAAGTATGAAAGCTTCTCTTTATTTGATTTGGGAAGGATAAATTTTAGCTTTAGTCACATAGATATTCATCACTGATTTCATAAGTATCTATCACTTTAATTAATATAGAAGTAATACTTCCACAGAATTTCTTGATTTTGGTTAATAATATAATTCATATGTAAATTTAAAAAGACTTTATGTTCTCTCTCTTCAACAATTTTACTTAATTCCTTATCTATAATAGTTATCTCACAACCTGGTAGACAAATTATGATTTTTTTTACGTTACATTTAAGAATTGGCTGAAGGAAGGAGGATTCATTTAGTCTGTGACCCTATGGCAAGTACAACAGAACATCAGGCCCCCCCACATCAATTCCCTGCTGCTCAATCCACACTACCCTGAATTGATTATGCAGCCATCTGGATAGGTCATCAAGATACAGCTGTTAGGTCATACACAGCCATAGGCTCAGTTGTGTCATTTGTGTACTGCTCAAGACTTACCTTACCTTAATTGTTCAGATTTCCATTTTTTTCAGTGCATAGTAATATCAACAAATAGCAAAAAATCTAATTTTAATTTTCATTATTGCAAATAGTGCTGTGCCTTGGGTTATGAAACCATTTTGGCTTCCTGGCTTACAATACATTGGAGAAGATCGCTTGATGGAAAAAAAAATTTCCTTGGGCCAAATTTTAGCATTCAGAGAGCCTAATTATGTTGTTCTTATATGCACAATTTCTGTCATTTACTCTGTGAGCTCCATGTATACAGTACATGTATTGCACTTGTAATTGATGCAATTTAAAGTTGGGGATTTAATATAGCATGAGATGGACGTTTAGCTCTTTTTGAAAAAGCAACATAGAAGAATTGATATACTTTTATTCAGAAAACATAGGAAAATAGTAGAAATGGGAATGATAAATTTTCAAAGTAGGAAAAAGAATTTTAGGTAGGTGACTCCCATTAACATCAAACAGACTTGAATGTTAGTCACCTTTTAAGAAGGATGTGTTTATGTAAAGCAGGTGCTCTGCATAATTTATGGAAGAGTAAAATGACTGATTGAGATAGGATAAATAGCAATAGAAAAGGATTAGTGAATGTTTTATCCCTATATTGCTAGATTCAATGTAATCTTGGCCTTAAATTAGTAAAAGTTGTTATTGTCTAATTAGCTATATGAACCATATGAACTGATCTTCATAGGACAACTCTTTAGCTCTGTATATCAGAAAAGAAACAGCTAATAGTGCCTCTTTATAGTTGTTATAATTGTGGACTGATGCACAGAGAACCACATCTGTCACAAAGGTCTTGGTGACCTGGTGATATAATGAAGGCTGACATTATATTCTGTGTTCAATACATTTGGTAAAATGTTGCCTAACTCAATTTGGTCCTCAGGAGTCCTCTTCACATTTCCAAGGGCAGTTTTATTAGTAAGCAGTTGTCATGTGGTAAAATTTCCAGGAAGCATTTACTGCTCCAAAAATCCTTCATCAATTTCTGTTCCTTATCACTCCAAAATTTGAATGTTGTTCCTTTTGCTTAAAACCCAACCCTCATTACCTGTTAAAGTATAAGAACTCTTTAAGAATTAATTTGTTCATTATATGACTTTATGCTATACAATAGAGTTTATCATGTTCCATTCATGAAAGCATGCTTGGATAGGAAATAGGGTGGAAGAGAGAATGGAGATATTAAAATAGTTTTACCTACTTTATAATTTTGCTTATCATAAGCAAAAGGAGAGCTAACATGAAGGATGACAAAAATAGGGTCTAAAATGGGTATGGACAATCTGGAGTAATGGGAGGAATAAAACTAGATTTATCTTTAAGAAATGCTAATTCTCAATAAAAGCAAAAAAAAAATAATCAGCCCTACTATATAGTGCAAAATTGGGATAGTATTATTTTATAGTAGTTTGATGAAAAGAAAAGAATACTTTAGTGGATCTCAAGCTTAGTCTGATCCAATAGGTAATGTGGCTGCCAATGAAAACAAGTGTGAAATTAGGTTTCATAGTATCTAGAAAGAGGGAAGTGATATCTCTTAATTCACATTGATGGTCATTACAAATCAGGTATATTGTGTTTAGTATTTGATCCTATATATGAAGAGAATGATGAATAAATTCTAGAATATGTCAGGGAAGGGTTATAAGAATGTCGAGGAGATTCAACACATTATCTATGATCAAACCAAACTGGCATCCTTTTTGTTCCTCATATACAACATTTCATCTCCTATCTTTGTGCCTTCACAGAATATCAAAGCATTATATAAATGTTAGCTGTTGTTGCTATAAACAGAGCCACCAAAACCTTTTTTTATTTTTAGAGATGTCATAAAGTCAGAGCTATACATTAGAAATATTAAGCCAATGAAAGTATAGAGGATGGCTTGGAGATAGGACACTGGAGTATGGAAGACCAATTGGAAGGTTATTACATTCATTTAGGGAAAATACAGTAAGGGTCTGATCTAGGGTAGTTGCAATGTCCATGGAAAGGAAGGGATAGATATTGCAGAGGCAGGATCTACACAGCCTGGGAACTGATTGGAATTTGAAAATTAGAAAGAGAAAAGAGTCAGAGATAACTTTTAAAGTTCTAAACTTGAGTAACTGGAAGGATAAATGGTGTTATCAACTAAATAGAGATGTTTGTAAGAGGGTACCATTTAGGGGAGTATTGTGAATTGAGTTGGAATATATTAAATTTGAAGTCAAATGTCCAAGTGGAGATATCTAAAAGGAAGTTGAAAATACCAGAATGGAACTCTGGGAAGAGGTTTGATGGTATATATGTAGGTCTATTAATCATCTTCATAGAGATATTCATTGACTGGATAATATCACCAAACCAGAGCACATAGAAAGAAGAAAGTGAAAGAAAGAACCTCAGAAAACATACACATGTTAGAAATTGAATAACTAGCCCATAAAAAAATTGAGGAGGAGAAGTTAGGGAGGTAGAACTACCACAAGATGTTTGAAGCCATCTCTGCAGTCAAAAAAGTGGATCCAACTTTTTTGTTACCATTAATGCATGCTTAACCCTAATAAAACCTTTTCACTCATTTCTCTTATTTAATCAGTGCAGTATTAAAATATTATTTACATTTGTGTATAGATTTTAAAGAATACCAACTTTTTAACTTGATTTTAGTAGAATGATATTCTAGGATACTAATTTGGAAAATAATTTAAGAAAGGGGTCCTATTTAATGAGTTGAAAAAACATCCTCTTTTCATATTCCCATATGTATTTTCATTGAATGTTAGTTGTCTACAGACTGATATAATTGAATTATGATACAGCAGTAACCCTATTGAGAAAATTAATAGAATATAATTTTATGTATTTACAGAAAGGAGAAATAACAAGTATCTAATATTAACTATAATTTATAAAGAGATGGTCCATTGTTCCTCTTTTTCTTTCTCTTCTTCCTTCCTGAACCAACTTATTTACCCACCCGGTGCTATAATAGTGAAATGCTGTTGTTTATGAGATTTGTTATGATAAAGATTTTAAAAATCACCATTTCCAAAATAATAGCCTAAGTTCTGGTTTAGACAGCAAATAGTGAGGGATAAATAACTATCTAGTCTATATAAGTTGTGTAGACACAAAATTTGCACGTTTCTAGTAGGGTTGTTATTAAGTGCTTAGTAGGTTCCAGGTGTTGTGCCAAGTACTAAGAATACAAATATAAGCATAAAGGAAGACAGGAATTGTCTTCCTGCCCTCAAGGAGCTTATATTTTAATAGGGGAAGACAACACATAAAAAGAAGCTGAAAAGGGAGGGGTAACCAGCATGTGGGTATTACAGTCCTGTGGAAATGGATTAGCGGTACAAGCAATGCAGAGCAATGAAGACATTATTGGCCTGGGCCTCTCCTCCTTAAATTGGAGGTTCTAAGAGGATCTTACCAGTGAGAGAGAGATTATGTAGGGGTGGTACTTTCCAATATGAGAAATTGGCCAGGATTAGAGTGAACTTTCAGGGTAAAGAAGTTCCAGTGGCACGGTAGACAAAGTCCTATGGAAATGAGTCAACAATACAGCTTAGACAAGGAGGGAAGAAAAGGTGAACATTTTCCATTTGCCATTCATTTTAATTAAAGTTAAATAAAACTGGAAGAGAAATGTGTAGAGTCCATTTAATTTCTTTTAGTCACACTGCCTCACTCCCACAGTCTATAGAATTTATTTTCATAGGAAATTCAAACTATTTGATGTTTTATTCATATGGTAGTGTCTAAATGCAAACCTGGTTTGATATTTTTTTTGAATTAGCTAGGTATTATTTAGTTCATCGAAAACTATCAAACCAGTTAAGTGTGTAAACATAGCCTCCTGTCTCCTTGAAAAACTCTTATTCTCCCAACTTCTCAACACCATAGTGTTCTTTGTATAGTGAGTTTTTTTTTTTTATTATTTATGAGTTGATTACTTGGTTGATATATTTTCTTGGCCCCTTCTTCCTCCTCCTACCTCCTGCTGTCTGCCTTTTGGTTATCTCATTACTTGCTGTTATTTCCACTAACGTATGTAGGGTCATAAAGTAGCCCAAACTCCAATTACTTTTACCTAATTGCTTATAGTATAAGCTAAGTAGATTGATATTATTGAGAACAAAAGCAAAATGGGGTTGATCTTTGTATTTCCATTAGCCATACTATG